CCCCCCCCCCACCTTGTGCTGCTTCAGGTACTCGTCCAGGGTGATGTTGGAGCGGTAGTTGGAGACCTTGATCGACAGGTCGCGCACAATGACGCCCCCCAGGTGCGCCTTGCTCGACTCCATGTCCTCTGCGGGGGTGGCGGCAGGGGGGTGGGGGGCAGGGGTTGGGGAGGCAGGAGACGCGGCGTGGCCAGGCGGGGAGCGGCGGGCAAGGACGTCCCGCGGCCCGGAGGAGGCGGCTGCGAGCTGTGTGGGTGCGAGGAGGCGGGCATGGCGCCGCTCGCCTGGGTTGATGCCCACGTTGCCGATGTGTGGGTAGGTGAACACCACGAACTGGCCCTTGTAGGAGGGGTCGGTCAGGATCTCCTGGTAGCCGGTGAGGGAGGTGTTGAACACGACCTCGCCCACTGCGCGGCAGGGCGCGACGGACGCAGCGGAAAAGGGGCGGAGGAGGTGAGCGGGGACGGCATGGTGGTCAGGAGGTGCAGGGCAGGCGGGGTAGGCCGTTCTGGAGCCTTGCTCGGGCGTGGCGGGAGGACAGGGTCCTGTCCAGCTGCTGGAAGCTGGCGCCTGGCGGCCGACAAGGCGAGGCATGCATGTCGTGGCCGGTGGGTGTGTTGCGGCGGCGCGGCTGCGGCCGCTCACCCGTTGTGCCGGTGTAGCCAAAGGCTTTGCCGTGCCACACGGAGCCATCCTCCAGCACTAGCCTGCGGCACGTGAGGCGGCGGCGCAGTCGGCAGGCGGCATGGACCCCAGCTGGCGGGGGTGCCCTCGCACGTGAGCTCCTTGGCGGCGTCCCCCGGCCCCATCCTGCCCCACCTGGCTGCAGGATCGTTCGCCCAGGGCGCCGCCGCGCTGGAAACGACGGTGGTAGCATGCACCCTTGACCTGCGTGACTGCGGCTGCAGGCTGAGCTGGGGGCGGTAGGAGCAGGAGGCCACGCTGCTTCCATGGAAGCTAGACTGCCGCAGGGGGCAGGCCTGCTGCCTGGCGCCCGGGGAGGCAGCAATGCCACAATGCCCTAGTGCAGCTGCAGACATGTTTGCCCCAGATCCTGCTGCACGCCTCCAGGGATCGATCAAGGTGCAACTAGGATTGGCCAATGGGTGGGGCGGCGGCGGCATGAGAAAAAACTGCCAGGTCAGGAGGGGTCGGCGGGCAGCCCCGCCCTGATCACCCCCCTCCCCGGCTGCTGGCAGCGGCGATCCAATTGGGCAACGCGCGACGGACGCTGGCAGGCGCTGAGTGGGCCGCAGCAGAAAGCCCCAGCGAAGGTGAGGCGCCTGGGGGGCTGCTGGGGCCCTGGCCATACGCATCTGCCCCGTCAATTGCCTCTGCGCACGTGCCAGCCCCGGGCCCGCAGCCCGCTGCAATCCTGCATGGAGGTCTGACCCTTCTCCCGGCGCTCCCCAACCCTGTTAGCGCCAGGGGTCCCACACCGACGGTCCGGCTAGACAGCGAGGCAGCAACCAGCGGGTGCCCGCACCATGTCGCTCAGGCAGAGGCTACCGCGCTATGGCGCCCGCCTGCTGCGCGGCCTGGCGGCGGCGGAGCAGGGGGCCCTGCCCCGGGCAGCCGCGCTGCAGGGCGGGCGCGCACTGAGCAGCCTCGCGGCGCGTAGGGCGGGCGTGGCCAGCGGCGCCGCGCTGCCACGCACGCAGCACAGCGCGCTGCTCAGCCTGCAGGCGCTGCTGCACGGCTCGGCGCCGCTGGCCGACCTGCCGGCCTACCAGGTGATTGGCACGGGCCTGCAGGCCGGTCGGTGGGCATCCCATGCTGGCCAGAGACGGGCAGCGGCACCGGGGTGTCACCCCTGGGGTCCGTGCATGGCAGGGAGCGGCGGTGGTGGCAGCAGGCGGCCGGTGGCGCGCATGGCACATCCCGGGCCTGGCAGCCAGGCGCAGCGCCGCCGCCCTCACCCCGCTCTGCTTCCTGTTGCTCCGGGGTGCAGGAGATGGCGATGCCGGCCCTGAGCCCCACCATGAACAGCGGCAGCATCGTCACTTGGAAGAAGAAAGAAGGGGACTCGGTGGCACCCGGGGACATACTGTGCGAGGTTGAGACGGACAAGGTGCGGCGGCGAAGCATGGGAAACAGGGAAGGGGGGCAGCGTGGAGAGGGTTGGGGCGGCTGGCGGTGGAGCGCGGCAGCCGCAGCGGTAGGCTGGCATCTGGCTGCAGGCCCGGGGCCGGCGCCCGCCGGGGCGTGGCGGGTCGCCCGCCGCTGGCGGTGCTTGCCGGCAACGCCCGCAACGCCTCGCTGCCGCCTCGCCTGCCTGCCTGCCGCCTGCAGGCCACCATTGAGTGGGAGGCGCAGGAGGAGGGCTTCATCGCCAAGATCCTGATGCCGGAGGGATCAAAGGACATCCCAGTGGGCTCCGCGGTGGCGCTGCTGGTGGAGGAGGAAAGCGACGTGGCCGCCTTCAAGGACTATGCCCCCGGCGCCGCGGCCGGCGGCGGCGGCGGCGGAGGAGCGCCCGCCGCGGCTCCGGCCCCGGCTGCGGCCCCCGCCGGCGGCGGCGGCGGCGGCGGTGCCTCCTTCCCGGCCCACACCCTGCTGGCCATGCCCTCGCTGAGCCCCACCATGAACAGCGGCAGCATCATTGCGTATAAGAAGAAGGAGGGGGATGAGGTGGCAGCGGGGGACATCCTGGCGGAGGTGGAGACGGACAAGGTGCGGATGGCAGCCGGGGTGGGTGGCAAGCGCACTGAGCTTGCCGCAGCATGGCGCAGCTGGGCTCCGATCGGCGTGGCCGAGCCTTCAGCTCGCCAGGGAGGCAGCTTGCCGCAGGGCTGGCTGTGTGGCTGTGCCCTGTGCTCTCCTGCTGCCTTACTGCTTCGCCCCACCCGCCCCTGCCCCCTGCACAGGCCACCATCGAGTGGGAGTCCCAGGACGACGGCTGGGTGGCCAAGATCCTGGTGGCGGAGGGCAGCACCGGCGTGGAGGTGGGCACGCCCGTGCTGGTCATCGCTGACAGCGCAGACGCGGTGGCCGCCTTTGCCGGCTTCACGCCTGCAGACGCAGGCGGCGCCCCCGCAGCCGCGGCCCCCGCGGCCGCCGCCGCGCCGCCGCCGGCCCCGGCAGCGGCGCCGGCGGCTCCCGCGGCGCATGCGGCACCTGCGCCGAAGCGTGCGGCGCCGGCGGCGGCGGCAGTCGCCCCCGGCGGCCGCGTCGTGGCCAGCCCCCTGGCCAAGCGGCTGGCTGCCGAGGCGGGGATCAGCCTGGCGGGCGCCGCGGGCAGCGGCCCCGGCGGCCGCCTGGTGGCAGCAGACGTGCAGCAGCTGATCGCTTCGGGCGGCGCGGCCCCGGCGGGTGCGGCGGCTGGCCCCGAGGCTGCCGCCGCCTACGCCTCCTTCACAGACATTCCCAACACCCAGATCCGAAAGGTCACCGCGCGGCGTCTGCTGGAGAGCAAGCAGCAGATCCCGCACTACTACCTCACCATCTCCGCCCGTGTGGACGCCCTGCAGCAGTTCAGGTGCGGGGCGGTGGCAGCCGGCCGGGCTGGCAAGCGCACGACGTGGCGTTGGGCCATGCGGGCGCGGATGGGAAGCAGGGAGGGAACCGCAGCTGTGCCATGGCGTGATGAGTTTTGCCACCCAAGCCGTGCCTGCCGCTTGCGGCCCACCCCCCTGCACCGCCCGCAGGCAGCAGCTCAATGCCACGCTGGCGGCCACAGACGGCGGCAAGCTGTCGCTGAACGACTTTGTAGTCAAGGTGGGGAGCAGGAGGCGCCTGCCTGCCTGCCTGCCCGCCTGCCTGCCCGCCTGCCCTGTCTGTGTGCAGCTGCAGGTCCGGTGCAACAACCGACACGCTGCAGGCCAAGCCCGCCCCAACATCCTGCGCTGCGTGCTCGGCTGGCATACCCTGACCTCGCCGCTGCCCCCGCCCACTGGCCCTGCAGGCGTCTGCACTGGCGCTGCGCAAGGTGCCGGAGGTGAATGCCAGCTGGTTCCCGGAGTTCATCAGACAGTACCATTCCGTGGACTGCAGCGTGGCGGTACAGGTGGGTGGCGGCAGAGTGGTGGGGCGAGTGGGGGTTTGGAAACTTACAGGGCTGAGTTGGGGAGGGTTTCCTGTGGCAGGGGTGACGGTGCTGGCTCAGCGCTGCAGCCCACATCACAGCTAGCTTGCCTCAGCTGCTGCCTGCCTCGCCTCACTTTGCTCGCCCGCCTGCCCTGCGCCCCCCACCCCCTGCAGACGCCCATCGGCCTGATGGTGCCCATTGTGAAGGATGCCGACAAGAAGGGGCTGGCAGCCATTGCGGCAGAGGTCAAAGAGCTTGCGGGTCGGGTGAGCAAGCGCAGCATACCGGAGCACCGCTTCTGCAGCACACAGCATTCTCTGCTGTGCCATCGCAGCGTCGCTGCCCCCTCTCCCCTCCTGCGCCTCCTGTTGCTTTTGCTCTACAAGACGCTCGACCTTGCTGAACCACGCGCTGCCTCGCTCCTTTCCTTCCCCGGCACCAGGCCAAGGAGGGCAAGCTGCGGCCCGAGGAGTTCAGCGGCGGCACCTTCACCATCTCCAACCTGGGCATGTTTGGCATCTCACAGTTTGCAGCCATCGTCAACCCGCCGCAGGTGAGGCACACACGCATGCAGCAAGCTCTCGGGGCAGGCGCCTGCGCCTGCCGCTGCATCATCCTGCATCGCCAGCCCCACCGGGCTGCCTCACCGTTGCATCGCTCGTGTGGCTGACCCTCCGACCTGAATCTCCCTAACTCCCTCCCTCCACCTGCTCACGTCCTCAGGCCTGCATCCTGGCTGTGGGTACGACCGAGAAGCGCGTGGTGCCTGCTGCGGGCGGGTTTGAGGAGGCCACCTACCTGACATGCACGCTGAGCTGTGACCACAGGGTGGTGGATGGCGCGGTGGGGGCGCAGTGGCTACAGGCCTTCAAGGCCTACCTCGAAAACCCCGCCTCCATGCTACTCTAATCGACCCTGCTTGCTCCAGAGCCCGGGTGCCTGGCTTGAAGCCCACGCGCTCTGCTCTCTTGTCTGCACAGTGTACCCGCCGAGCACTGCATCCCCGCCACCACTCTTTTGTGCGAGCCACACGCGGCTGGCCGGCCGGCTGCCGATGCAGCTGGCGCAGCAGCCCAGGCTCGACCCCGTTCCATTTTTCATGTTCCACTGCCGCTGATGCGGCTCGTGCGTCTGTCGCTATCCTGTCAAGGCAATGAACCAAGCGCCCAGCTCCTGGTCAGCAAGGATGGCAAATGATTAGCATCCATGGACAGTCTAGCATCTGCTGCGGCCTGGCTGCGTTTTGCGCCCGCTGTCGCACTCCTGCAGTACAATGCGGCTGTGACTCGCCACATTCAGCGAGCGCCATCAGACCATTCGTATGTGATGATTCACAGTGTGATCAACACGCAGGTCCCGTCGACAACTCGCCTGATCCTGGTAAACAAACGCTGAAACTCTCTCTTCTGGCTGATAGCAGATCTGCCGGAGGCTTCCAGCTGTTCTTGATCGCTTCATAAGGTCGGCTCAGTCGAGACAGACTGCCAGCGCCCACTGCCGGCTTGCTACTACTCTGCCGTGGGCGCCCGCCCACCGCCAGCTCAACCAGTCCTGTGCCTGCCGACGTCTCCTCTGCTGCAGCAAGCAGGACAGCACCCCCGATGCCGTCGTGGGGTGTGGAGCTGGACCATCTGGTGGTGGCGGCCGCCACTCTGGAGGCGGGCGTGGTGCCCGTGGCTGCTGCGCTGGGCGTGCCCGAAGGCGCCTTTTCGGCAGAGGGCAAGCACGCCCTGCTGGGCACTCACAACCGGCTGGTCAATTTGGGAGGCTCCTGCTACCTGGAGGTCATTGCCATAGACCCAGCAGCGCCTGCGCCCACCCGAACTCGCTGGTTTGGGCTGGACGATCCCTCCCAGCAGGCACGGCTGGCCCAGCGCCCCCGCCTGCTGACCTGGGTGGCGCGCCTGCAGCCGCCCGCCGACCTGAGCGCCCTGGCGGCGCAGCAGCAGGTGCCGCCGGTGGTCGCCATGCACCGTGGCGACTTCCGCTGGCGCATCGCAGTGCCAGATGACGGCAGCCTGCCCAGCTGGGCGCCAGCAACCTGCAGCGACAGCAGCAGCAGCAGCAGCAGCAGCCGCAGCAGCAGCGTGGTGGGGGGCGGCGGTATACTGCCCACCGTAATTCAGTGGGATGTGCCGCAGACGCCTGCCGAGCTGCTGGCCCCCAGTGGCCTGTCGCTGCGCCGGCTGGTGGCCCGGCACCCCCAACCAGCATCAGTCCGTCTGGGGCTGGCAGCACTTCATGCTGAGGCGCTAGTGTGCATAGACGATGTGGCCACACCAGAGGCTGGGCTGCAGGCTGAGATTGAGACGCCCACCGGCCTGCGCATCCTCACATGACCTGGTGTTAGCCGCCATCCCTCTGTGCCCCATGCCTGGCATGCCGTTGTTCATTGCTGGGCGCTGTGGGTGACAAAAATGTGAACTGAATGAAATAGAATATGGAGGAATGAAGGCGAGCATACAAAACATACAAAACAGCAAAGAGCAGCATATGCAAAAGTTGATGAGCGTGGCCGGGGTCTGCACCGCCAAGTCGCGCACCGGCATCTCACGGAGGCCGCCCGTCGCTTCTGAAGTCGCGGGCAGCCAGCACCCAGCATCATCTGCCCTCCACCGGCTGGCATGTGTCCAGAGATATCGTCAGCTGCTGCAGCACGGCGCTGCCATGCGGCGCCTCGGCGCCACGTATCTGCATGCTGAGCCGGCGCTGCGCCCAGTCGAAGTCCAGCATGCCAAACGCCGCCAGCTTCACAAACCCGCAGTCGCCCTCTACCCGGAGCCCGCTGTGCTCCCTGCAGCAGCGGAGATGCGCAGCAGGCCAGGCCGGCACGCGCAGGCTCAACAGGCGAGGGATGGAGTCTTGTGACATGGCGGCAGGCGGCTGCTGCCCCCTCCTCCCCAAAAAACAAAAAAGAACGCCACGATCTGGCCGGGACCACCAAACTCACTTGCGGTATCCGTCGCAGGGCGCCGCTGGGCGCGCTGTGCTGTTGGTCATGCCGCTGGCCATCACCTGCAGGGCAGCCAGGTTGGTGGGCGGGCACGGGCTGGCTTACCTCCTTGCCAGGCAGCCCAGCCAGCCACCTCCCCGAGCCGCCATTCACAGCGAGCAGCAAGGCGCGGCCCAACACGGCAGCGGCAGCGGCAACGGCACCTGATAGATGGGCGTCACCCAGTTGGCTGTGTCGTATGCCTGAGAGTAGGGGTGGCCGCTGCCCGGACTGGCCACCTTGATATCGCTGAAGTGGTAGTCCCCCGTGAGGACGATCCAGCAGCCGCCGTGCTGCCTGGCGTGGCGCTGCAGGGTCTGCAGAAGCGCCAGCTGCGCCGGCCTGTAGCAATCCCAGTCGTCGCCTGCAGCGCAAGCCAGGGGGGCGCGAGGACGAGAGCGAGACGAAAGAATCAATTTCCCCAAACATGGGCGCCCGCGTGCACACCCATCACCACCACCGGGACCCACCCTTGCCTGCCCCGCCAGCAAGGCTGCCCTGCCTGCAGGCACCACCTTTTCTGTGCCCACCTGAGCACCTTCCCGTCCAGTCGTTCTCCTTGCTGTTCTCGCCCAGCCCCGTGCTGCCAAACAGCACGCTGCCGCTGGCGATGAGCTTGACGGGGGCTCTGGCCTCTGCCAGCACCCCGTCCAGCCAGGCGCGCTGCCGCGGGCCCAGCAGCTCACAGAAGCTGCTGTCCTCCTCCGACTCCGCCGCATCCTCCTCCACATCACGCGGCTGCAGCCTGCAGCGGGGCAAAGCAGGGCATGCAGTGGGCACATGAGGGGCAGGGGAGGCCTGCCCACGCCGGGGAGGCCGTCCCCACGCTGGGGAGCAAACTTGTTGGCAGTGCCGCATGCAAAGCCCGGCCCGAAGCACAATCTCGCAAGCCAGCAGCGATGACGCGGGCAGCACAGCGGCCCCACCTGCCCTCGTGCACCACCAGCGGCTGCATGCCAAACTGGGGTGAGCTGTAGTTGCAGGCTACATCCCACAGTGGGTCCCCCTGGCTGCCCGCCTGCAGGCAATGCACACATACACGTGCAGCAGGTGAGACGCAGGGCGCCACCTGTCAGCTGTGTATACCATGGCTCGAGCTTCTTTGCATTGCGTGCATGCAGCCAGGCAACAGCCACTGAGGCCCAGGCCCCACCTCCTTGCACCAGCCGTAAAAGATGGCTCCATCCGCCTTGCAGCAGGAGCCGTTGCGCCCCGTGGCGCCGCCGGTGCGCAGGTAGTCGTCGCACCAGGCGCGGCTGGGGTGCTGCCGGTCCTTGAGCACAACGTTGCGGCACCTGTGTTGGCGCACAGGTCAGGGCAGCTGTGAGCTCCAAAACAGGGTCTGCGCTCTGGAGTGGCAGGCAGCACGCAGCCAAGGAAGCAGGGCCTGCTGCCCCTCTCCCGGCTGTTGGCCAGCATGCAGATCGTGCCCCCCCCCACCCCCACCCACCCCCACCCCACTGCATGCGGCTGCAGAGGCCGCGCCTGCCCACGCTCACCAGTCACCCCTGATCTCACAGGGCAGCGGCGCACGCTCGTACCGCTCATCCAGCAGTACCAGGTCCACCTCCTGCTGCGTGTCGGGGTTGAGGCGGTAGTGCCACTGGATGCCGCGGTGCGCCGCCCGCCGAGGGCTGTCGGCGGCCACGCCCAGAGCATCCAGGTACACCTGCAGTGCAGCGGCACGGCGTGGCCTGGTCTGGCACCGGCTGGGCAGGCCGGCGTGGCGGAAGAGCGGCGCAGGTAGGCAGGAGCCGCGCCAGGGCCAGCGCCACGGCAAACTACGTCTGTCTGCCCCGCGCGGCGCGGGCCGTGCCTGCTTGAACAGGTGCTTGGCGGGCAGGCGGCGGTTGAAGTTGTTGACTCCATAGTCGTGGTCATCGTACACGCCCAGCACGGGGCGGGGGCAGACGGCCAGGTCGTCGCCCGGCGGCACCATGGCGCCGCCGGTGGCCGCCTCGTGGCCCGGGCAGCTGTACCGCAGGAATGCGCGGTACCCGGGCTGGTGCACCTGCGCCACCATCTTGTCCCGCGCGTTGTCCAGCTCCCCCGCGGGGCACATGTAGGGCGGCTGCCGCATGTAGGTGGCCTCGCAGGCGCACGCCGAGGCGTTGGAATTGGCCGGATTGCAGTTGAACAGCGGCTCGTCCCCATAATACATGTCTCCCAGCCACACCCAGGCGTCCGGCTGGGAGGGCATCACGCCCTGGTCCCACACGCTCTGGTTGCGGATGTCGTAGGCGGAGCAGCTGCCAAAGGCGATGCGCGAGACAGTGAGGTGCGGGTCCCACAGCGACACGCCGCCCCAGGGCAGGGGCACCGCCTTCTTGGGGATCAGGCAGCCCGCGCCGCCCTCGCGCCGGCACCGCACGACGGTGGCCGCCACCAGCGCCGCCATGGTGGCCAGGAACACGGCCATGATGACGGCGGCCGCCGCCAGCCGGAAGTTGTGGTAGGGGTGGCGGGGCGTGGCCGGCGTGCGCGGGCTGCTCAGCGGCACGTGCGACAGCGGGACCTCCGTTTCCAGCGACCCGGACAGGCCGTTGCCGAAGCTGGCATTGAGCAGCGCGCGCTCGCTGTTGCTGCCGCGCAGCGCCGACGACATGGTTGCTCGGCTCTGGGCGTCTGCAGGGCGGCGGCAGCGGCGGGGCGCGTTGGGAGGAGCAGGGAGGGCGGCGCCGGCTGGTTGGCGGCGTCTTGGATCCCCTGCGATGCCCAGGCGCTTGTGTGGGCCGGCCCCTGCGCCTGCACTCGAGTTGTTGGCGTGTGCAGTCTGTTCCACTCACCCTCACAGCGTCGACCCGTCCATCATTGCCCTGTCGATGTGAAGGCACTGCACAGACGTCTGTTAACCTCAGATCGCTTCTCGTGCGTTGGACGACAGGTTGGCACCAGGTGGCTCTGAACTCCCATCAAGATGCTTGCAGGCCTCATGGTATTGGGCAAATACTTCAGTTGCAGTGCTGCGATCCATAGGGCCAGCAGACCGGGCATGAGCGGCCGCCGGCCTGCCACTGCGCAGCTGCTGCTGGCAATGGCGCTGTGCTGCCTTGCACGGTGAGCACGAGAAGTCCGTCAAACCAGCAATGCGATTGGCAGCTGCCGGCCTGTTCGCAGCTGGCACGCACTGGCGCCGCCACCGCCCACCTGCCTTGCTCTTGCTGGTTGCAGGGCCGCCTGTGCTGCCCAGCCGCCCAGCATCCTCACCGTGGGCAGCCTGAACTTAGATGTCATCGTGGCCGTGGACCGGATGCCCACCGGCGGCGAAACCATCATGGCACGCAGCCCGGCAGCCACCACCGCCGTGGGCGGCAAGGGCGCCAACCAGGCCGTTGCGGCCGCGCGCCTCAGCGCGGGGTCGGGGCGAGCCAGCAAGTTCGTGTGCCAGTTTGGGAATGACTCCCATGCGGCGGCGATGGAGGCAGCACTGGTGGCAGAGGGCGTTGATGTGTCGCTGAGCGGGCACGTGAGCCTGCCGTCAGGCCAAGGCATCGTGAGTGTGTGCTGCCCCCACTCGCTGGCTTCTGTTTGCCGCTTAGCATGCAGCTCAGCTTCATGCCACGCCGCCTAGCCAGTCGACTGGTAGCCTGGGAGGAGTGGTGACACTGCCTTCCCATGCCACCGCCCGCGCTGTGCCGCAGGTGTTGCTGGAGCCAGACGGCGGCGCCACCAGCATCGTGCTGGGCGGCTCCAACACAGCCTTCCCCCGGGTGAGGCCCACTGGTGTCTGCCTTGGCAGCGGGAGGGTGCCTGGCTGTCTTCCCAGCCAGGCACAACTAATCCCTCCCCCTTGCAGGGCTCCGAGCAGCAGATGGGACGCTGTCCTTCTCAATTTGCTTGAGCTGCTCTCTGTTCCTGGCCTGCAGGAGGCTCCCGAGGCTCTGGCGCACCTGATGGAGGGCACAGGCGTGGTGATGCTCCAGCGCGAGGTGCCGGAGCACGTGAACGAGGCGGTGGCGGCTGCTGCCGCCAAGGCCGGCGTGCCGGTGCTGCTGGTGAGGCAGGGCGGCCGCCGCGCAGCACGGGCTGCCTGCTCCTTAGCCCCTGCCACACCGGCTTGGCGTGGCGCGGCCCCAAACTATGCTGCCTTTCGGCTGCCTCCGCATCAGCCTGACCGCTGCTGCCTCCTGCGCAGGACGTGGGCGGCGAGGACCGCCCCATTTCGGACGACCTGCTGCCGCTGCTCGACTATGTGTGCCCCAACGAGTCTGAGCTGGCGCGGCTGACGGGCCTGCCCACTGCCAGCGAGGCGCAGGTGCTGGCGGCGGCGGCGGCCCTGCAGCGCCGCGGCGCGCGCAGCGTGCTGGTCACGCTCGGCCCCCGCGGCTCCCTGCTGGCCGCCCCCGACGGCTCTGTGCTGAGGCAGGAGGCGCTCGGCCTGCCTGGGGCGGCGGTGGTGGACGCCACGGCGGCGGGCGACGCCTTCCGCGCCGCCTTTGCGGTGGCGCTGGTGGAGGGGCGGCCCTTGCGGGAGTGCCTGCGCTTTGCCAGCGCGGCGGGCGGCATTGCCACCTCACGCATGGGCGCGGTGCCCAGCCTGCCCGGCCGGCAGGAGACGGAGCAGCTGGCTGCCAGCAGCGGCAGCGGCGGTGGCGGCGGCAGCGACCGGAGTGGCGGCGAGACTGCGGGCGCGGCCACGGGCGCCGCGGCGCGGCCTGTTGCTGCCGGCGGCGCCGCTGCCTGCGGCGTAGGCACCTGCGCCAGCAAGCCGACCCTGGGGCCTGCGGCGATGCCTGCGGCGATGCCGCAAGACTGCCCCCACCAGTTTGCCGCCCGGCTCAACTCCATGAGCGCACGGCGCGACCTGGCGGGCCCCACCGACGGCGCCGACGACGTCCTGGGCTGGCTGCAGCGCCAGGCCCGCATCCCTGGCTTGTCCCTGGTGGCCTTCAACCACCCGCAGCACACGGCGGGCCACACGCCAGCCCAGCTGCGCGCCGCGCTGGCGGCGGCGGGGCTGGGGGCGGCGGCCGTGGCGCTGCGCTTTCCAGAGGACTACGCCCTGGGCGCCTTCACCAGCCCCGACCCGCAGCTGCGGCGCGCCGCGGTGGCGCTAGCGGCCGAGGGCTGCCGCTGGGCGGCGGAGCTGGGGGCACCAGACCTCATTGTGTGGCCGCAGTACGACGGCTACGACTATCACTTCCAGGCAGGGCGCAGAGGGCGCAGCGCACACAGCATGACCACAGCGTGGCGTGCTCCCCCTCAGCAACCAGGCCCGCCCCTCTTGTCCGATTCTGTGTTCTTTGGTTTCCGGCTCCACAGGTGGACTACCCAGCCGCCTGGCAGCACGCGGTGGCGGGCTACCGCCAGCTGGCCGACGCCTGCCGTCCCGGGGTGCGCGTCAGCCTGGAGTTCAAGGCCACCGACGAGGCCACCCGCTGGTCGCTGGTGCCCTCCACCGGCGCCGCCCTGCTGCTGGCCGGCCAGGTGGACCGCAGCAACTTTGGGCTCACGCTCGACGTCGGCCACCTGCTCATGGCCGGAGAGAGCCCCGCGCAGAGCGTGGCGCTGGCGGGCGCCGCGGGCAAGCTTTTCGGCCTGCACCTCAACGACGCGCACGTCAAGCTGGGGGCGGAGGATGGGCTGGCGTTTGGGTCGGTGGGCGGCAGCGGCGCGCTGGAGCTGGTGCGGTGGCTGCACAGGGTGAATTACAGCGGGACCATCTACTTTGACACCTTCCCGCGGAAGGAGGACCCTGTTCGGGAAGCCGCCTACAACATCCGCCGCTTCAGGCAGCTGTGGGCGCGCGCGGCGCGGCTGGTGGCTGCGGGCCTGGATGGGTTTGCGGAGCGGCACGACGCGCTGGGAGCACTGGAGCTGCTGGCGGCGGATGAGGAGCGGGGGGCGGTGGCGCCTATGAGGACTTGACCTGCTTCCCTGGAGTTGCCTGTTGACTTGCAATGCCATGTAATGCATGCGCTGAAGCTATTGGTTGCCAAGGTTACACACCTGCTATCGGCTATGGAACAGCCGCATGCAGCGCGGGCCCCACCACCACCTCCTCGCACGCAAGCCCCCGCTGCTCACACGCCTGCCACAACCTCTCCGCCTGGTGCGGTCCCTCGGGGCACAGCGCCACCACCGCGCCGCCGCTGCCCGTCAGCTTGGCTGCAGCTCCGACCGACGCTGCCGCCTTCACCATAGCCAGGTTGTCGGCTCCCACCACAGCATCCCCATACATCAACCGCCGCAGCCGAAGGTTTTCGTTCATGAGCAGAGCTAGGCGGTGCGCGTCCCGCTGCCGCAGCGCCTTCACGCCTTGTTCCGCCAGTGCCGCCACTTGCTGCATCAGGCGCCTGCAGCAGGGCCCGGGGAGCTGGCAGCGTCAACAGCCGCGGCGTTGGCGGCCCAGCGCACGCTCCGCAGGGCGGTCCCAAGCAAGCCTGCCGGGTAGGCTGCCTGCCTCCCAGGCTGCCCACCTGACGCTTTCGTCCCCCGCCAGCCAGCGCTGCTTGACGTCTGAGTGCACCCTGCCGCTGTCCTTGCCTGGCGCCGCCGCCCTGCGGTAGATGAGGTGCAGCGGCGGCAGCAGGGCGGGGTCCAGCGACTCGTACCGCCCGTACCCACGCTGCCGCATGGCCGCCTGGGAGAAGTCCATCGCCACCAGGCCGCCATACACCTGGCACGGGGTGCAGGGAGGGCAGCCGCGGCGGCGATGCCGGCAGCATGTGGCCGCGCAGGAGGCGGGCGGAAGCAGCATCTGTTGGGAGGGCGGCCAGCCGCGTGCCACGCCCGACTGGTTGGCTGGAAACGTCCAATCTAGCCGCTGCGTGCAGCCGAGGTGTTGACATCAGGTACCCCCCACCCCACTGCCACACACACCTGCACCACACGGTCCTGCAGCCCCGCTGTGATCCCAAGGTCCTGCTCAGCGCTCAGCACCAGCTGCGGCCGCTGCGGCGGCGGCACCGCCCCCTCCACGCCGTAGTGGCGCAGCAGGCAGTTGAGCGCGGCGCAGGCGATGGCAGAGGAGCCGCTGAGGCCGCACTGCGCCAGGGCCAGGTGCCGGGGAAGGGCATGAGATGCCTGCATTGCTTGGCAACCTGCTGCTACGCATGCCCGCGCCCTGGTGCAACGCCGGGTCACAGCGCTGCCTGCCTGCTGGCATGCTCAGCTGGCTCTGTGACGTGCAGCGCCCCCACACCCAAACCACACAGCCATAGGCCATACCCAAACGCGCACCTGCCGCGGGATGGTGGTCCGGTACGCCAGGCTGAAGTTGCCGGCTGATGGCGGCAGGCGGATGCCCCGCTCCTGGCAGTGCTCGAGGAACCGCTTGGCCATGGCCTGCAGCAGCCTGAGGCCGCCATAGTAGCCGCAGCCGCGGATGTGGGAGGCGCAGGCTGCCAGGCTGCCGAACTCCAGCGGGTCGCACTCGGGGTTGGGCAGGAAGCGCAGCTTGGCGGAGGGCGCCAGCGTCACCTGCATGCATGTTGGAAGCATACCCGCACGTGCCTGTGGCCATAGCGAGCTCCACAACAACAAAAGGGGATGATCTGGACAGCAGCGCGCTGGCCGGGAGAGGGAGCAGTAGCAGGCGGCGGCGGCGGCGGTGACCACAGCACGCGTGAGGTCTTCTGCACCTCGGCGTAGAAGTTGGCCAAGCTTAGAGAGACACAGGCGCCCTCGAATCCATCGCTGGGGTTGCCCAGCAGGCCTATTCTGCTGTGAACGCGAGACACGAGTGTGCCATCGGGCTGAACCTGCACTGCCATGGCTGCTGATGGAAGGCCCGGTCGAGGACGATTACGTTGCGCTAATTCTCAGCGGTTCCTGCAAACTGCTGAGCTGGCGGCGGTGCTGACAGTGCGGCGGGGTGCTTCCATTCTTGTAGCGCTTCAGTTCTCGTAGCGAAGAACAGTGCTGGCCTTCGTTACCAGCAGTCCGAATGTCCAAAATTTCAGTTCAAATAATAATGGGGCTCACTGCCGGGTGGGCTGGCGGCGCCTGCAATTCACAGCGCCAGCAGGCCCGGTGGATCGGCCAGCGCCTCCCGGGCCTCCGACTTGAGGCGGCGCAGCTGCTTCTGCAGGCCCCGCACATCCTGGCTGCCCCCTGCCGCAAAGCTCTGCGCCACCAGCGCCAGCTTGTGCACCACATCATACACAGCAGCCAGCTGGGCGGCGTCGGCGGTGCCGTAGGCTCGGATGCGCTGCCCCTCGCTCTCATCCAGGGCTGCGGCGGGGAAGGCAGCAGACGCGTGGGGAGAGCCACAACCTTGGAAGCATGCACAACCGGGATGCCACAGCTCCTGTGACGCCTGCCTGCTCCCCTCCTGGGCTCCGGCTCGCCGCCCGTGCCTCCCCCTGCGCCATAAAACGCCAGCCCACCTGCCACCACCTCCTCCGCCACCTGCAGCACCTCTGGCGGGAAGCCCACAGCGCGCGCCAGCAGCAGGCCGTAGTGCCCCGCCTCCTCGCTGCCCCCCGCCCGCAGGCGCCACGAGAAGTCCAGCCTGTGCCTGGAGGCATCCACGCCAAAGTGCCAGGCCGTGGCTGCCGGGTACACCACCGCCAGGTCGGTCAGCTGGTGGAAGTGGGTGGCAAACAGGGTGGGCGCGCCCCGCGACACCAGCTGCTCGCCCACGGCCCAGGCCAGGGCCACGCCATCTGCGGTGGAGGTGGCGCGCCCCAGCTCGTCCACCAGCACCAGGCTGCGGGGGGTGGCGTGGGCCAGGATGTGCGCCACCTCCTGCACCACACGCAACAGGTGCCGCCCTTGAGCACCCGGATGGGCCCACTTGATGTCCAGCAGGGTGCTGAGAGCCTCAGTATGATGCCGCCTGGAGGTCTCTCCTTCCCACAGCGCCATCCCTGTCCCCATGCCGCTCCCAACACCCGCCCCACCCCTGCGCCGCTCCCCACCTGCATCTCCACCATGAAGGAGGAGGAGCAGGTCTCCAGGCTGTCCCCCGCGCCGACGCGGGACAGCAGGCGGTCGCGGGGTGCCAGGGAGGCGAAGGAGGCGGGCACAAAGGCGCCCACTTGGGCCATGACCACGCACAGCGCCACCTGGCGCAGGTAGGTGCTCTTGCCGCTCATGTTAGGGCCTGCGGGGCGCGGCAGGTGGCATGCATGCGGTGCCTGTCAGCACAGCTGCACGCAGGCGCGGGCAGGCGAGCGAGACTGGGCTAGTCCCAGCCGCAGCGGTGCTAATGCTGCCCACAGGCAGCACCCATCCCGCCGCCCAAGCGCTGCCTCAGCTCGCCTGTGATGATGTGGAAGGAGGAATTCAGCGCCAGGTAAGTGTCGTTGGGCTGGTAGGGGTACCCCCCACCGCTCCCGCCGCCGCCCTCCAGGCACTCCAGCACCGGATGCCGCGCCTCCACCAGCGCCAGCGGCCCCGCCTCTGTCAGCACCGGCCGCACGTACTGGCGGCCCGCAGGGTCCCCGCTGGCCACCAGGCTGAACCCTGCCAGCATGTCCAGCAGCGCCACGCCATCCACCAGGCGGTGCAGCAGCGGCAGGTAGGCAGACGCCACCTTGTCCGACACGCCCTCCAGCACCTGGCCGGGGCACAACGGTTGGTGACACGCGCGGCGGGGCTGGCTTGCAGGGACTCGCGAAGGGCGAGCTGGCCTCAAAAAGGTGGCCCGCTGGGCACAGCGTGCTAGCAGCGATGCAGCGCCTCATCGATGCACCCGCGCAAGGCCCACCCACCTGCTCCGTCAGCACCATGCAGTCGTTGCTGGCGTCCCGCAGGCGTGCGTTCAGGGCGTTGAGCTCGCCGGTGGTCACCTGGGCGGTGCGCCCGCTGTGCTGCAGCACCGAAAAGCCAGGTGGCACCCGCACCCGCCCGCCCCCCGCCTGCCGCTGCCTGGCGCGCCCGCCCCCGCCGCCGTCACCGCGGCCGCCGGTGCTCGTGCCGGCAGTCAGCTGCGGCAGCTCATGGACCTCCTGCTCCTCCTCGCCATCCTCAAGGTCACGCGGGTGCTTCTGCCTGGCGCGGACGCCTCCTCGCCCGCTGCGGCCGCCGCCGCCGGGAGCGCCGCCGTCGCCGGCGGCCCCCAGGATGAAGCAGAAGCCCCTCTTGGCTGTGTAGTGCACCCGCATGCCTGGCAGCCTGTGCTGCTCCCGCAGGCTGTTGGCCAGCTCATGCACCTGCACGGGGGGCGGTCGACATGCCGAGGTGTCGGCAGCCCGGTTGCAGTGCTGCAGTACGCGGATCCCCCGACCCGCGCACCTGCTCCGTGACTCGGCAGAAGGTCTGGCGTGCCACATCCAGGAAGCCATCCACGCCGTTCTTCACAGCAAAGCACTGCTGCGTTCTGCAGGCAGCAGGGGTGTGCATGGGCAGCAGCCTCTGCTGCCGTGCATGTGGTGCTGCTCGTGCGGTTGGTGGGCAGGGTAGAAGACTCGTCTTCTCCCCTCACCACCAACCAGACCAGCAGCCCCACCACATGCACGGCTCGCATCCCAGGTCCGCCCCTTCCTCCTAGCTACTGCATGTAGCACTGCCGAGCCCGCATGCTGCCGGCAGCGCATCCCCAGCCCCCACCTGTTGAGGAAGGCGCTCTTGGCCGACCGCACATCCTCCTCCAGCACCGCCTGCAGCTCGCCGCGCAGCTCCCCAAAGGCGGCGTGCCCGCAGGCGGCGCCCACCGCGCGCAGCAGCTCGCACCGCGCGGCGGCCAGGGCCTCGGCCAGCGGGGGCAGCACCGCCAGCGCCTCGTGCAGCAGGATGAAGCTCTGCAGGTGGCAGGCACAGCGACTTGCTGGCCACCAGATACTTCGGCAAGGGAATGATGAAGCGGTACCGTGCTCGACGCACACCAGCACAGCCACAAGTGGGATCCCCCCAACCATGCCTGCCTGCCAAGGCGCTGCCGCACCTGAATCATGGCGGCGATGCGCCGCAGCGTGCCCGCCTGGGTCTTGGCGGGGCGCAGGCTCAAGCTGCCGCACATCCTGCGGTGACGTAGGTGCAGCAGGGGCATCATGGCGTCAAGCGCTGCTCCCTCAGCACCCAGGGGACAGCACCCACACTTTCACCTGCCCCGCCTCTTCCCATTCCTAAAAGAAAGACTGCCTCGCCCACCTGTCCAGGTCCTTGGGCAGCGCCGCCAGGCAGGTGGACACATTGAACGCCAGCTCATCATCCCGCCCCAGCTCCTCCACCGCATCATACCGCAGGCTCAGCGTGGCGATGTCTCGCAGCGGCTGCAGCAGGCTGGCGCGCAGCAGGCGGGCTCCGCACTTGGTCTTGGTGCGGTCCAGCACCCTGCAGGGGGGAGGCGAGCGGGCACGGGGTGCGCAGCATGCCCGACAGCATCAGGGAGGTGGAGCTGCATCCTGCAGGGACAGCCGTCCCTGGTGCTGCAGCACCTTCATCACCCACATGGGTGCTGCACGGCTACAGCTGCTTCACCGCCGGAAGTACTCTGGCTGGGTGCTGCGCAGCTAGCAGCTGCTGCTCCCACCTCAACAGGCTCATGCCGCTGAGCTTGGCGGAGCAGGTGCCCACTCGGATGGGGTGGATCAGCTCCAGGGCTGCCGCCGTGGCCTGGTCGATGTGCATGTGTGTGTCGCTGTCGGCATGCCACACCGCAAGGCTGCCCGCCAGAGGCACCAAGCCCACAGCGTCTTGCTCCAGGTACCTGCAAGCGGGTGCAGGCAGGGGCATCGGAGATGGGGTTGCTGCTCGCTCTGGGGGCAGGCTGTTTGCAGGCCGACAGTTTTCCTGCTCCCCAGCAGATGCCATACAGTGTGCCCAGACCCACTTGAGCAACGCGCCTGCCGCGGCGTAAGCCAGGTAGCAGTTTGCGCTTGACTGCAGCATGCCTGCCTCCAGCACGGCCCGCGCCTCGGCATTGGCATACTTGGTCAGCGCCACAAGGCCGGCGCTGTCGTCCCAGGCACCCCGCGGCACCGCCACCTGCCAGGTCGAGGGTCGCGGCAAGCGGTCAAACCCCGGTCAAACTTTGGCGAGGCGCCGGCACTGAGCAGCGACATGGGTGCTCCCAGCTGCTGTGCTTGCTTGCTTTGAAGCCCCGCGTCTCGCCTGCGTGTGATGGAGGCGTGTGGCCTTGCTGACGCCCGTCTCCTGAGCCTCGGCCACGACGAGAAGGCGCTCGGGGTTGTGCTGCGCCAGCAGGTCCCTGCGGCAGGGCCGGAGGATTGCGGCGTGGCGGCGTGGCAGGCGCTGTACCAGCCAGCAGCCCTTGCTCTGCGCCACGCAATGGGCACCAAGTCAGGGCTGACTCATGCGCCAGCAGTGGCCGGTAGCTGCTGCAGGGCTTGCTCACAGCGTGCGGGCAAATGTGCGTGTCGTCTCCACGTGCTGCGCGAGCAGCAACGTGCCGCCGTCGGCGTCCAGCACCGCCAGCCCGACCTCCCCCGCTCTGTTGTCGATCACACCCGCCACCAGCGCTCCTGCCGCCTGCTCCTCAGCAGGCAGCCCGCCCTCGGACGCCTGCTCGTTGCCCGCTGCGCCTCCCGCAGTGGCCGGCATTGGGGCCTTGCCGAGGTGGCCGGGTTGGCTCTCTCAAGCGCACACCCACGAGCTAAGCAGCTCTGGGGCAACCTTGTGGCTGCTGCTTGTGCGCCCCGCTGCTCTCCTCGAGGGAGGGACACGGCTGGTCACAAGGCAGCAGGTGCAGGATGTGCATTCCCTGTCTCCTGGCTCGAATTCGAGGGTGCAGTACAGCTGAGCTGGCGGCCACGAATGCAAGGCTCGATCGTAGCGACGCACCATCATTTTGCGCAGGCGCAATCAACTCAGAGATCGTCTGCGATCGCCTCACACGCACAGCCATGCCACCAGCCACACTCCGCCTGGCTCCCGCTCCCGCTGCGGTGCTACTTAGGCCAGCAGCAGCACGCAGGCAGCGTGTGGCAGCCAGGCAACCAGTGGCGTCAGCAGAAGGGTGGGGAGGCTGCGCTGGGTGGTGCATTGTGGGGCGTCGGCGGTGAGCCGCCACAGGCCGCCATTGCAGAGTTCTCGCCTCCCCTGCCCAACACCCGCTGCTGATTGCCACGCAGGGCTACTGATGTAAACACTATCAAGCTGACGCTACGCAAGCCGCTGGGCCTGGTGCTGGCAGAGCGCGAGCAGCCGGGCGGTGCGGCGCAGGTGTTTGTAGAAGAGATCGTGGCAGGTGGGCAAACAGCAGCGCGCCTGGACATATTGCATCGCTTAAACCTACCTTCCATCCTCAATGCTGGATGGAAGATCGTCTGCGCCGCTGTGTGCAGGGGGCAATGCCGCCAAGGACGGCCAGGTGCAAGTGGGCGATGTGCTGACCAGGTGCAGCGCGGTGCTGCTCAAGGCGGGCAAGGAGGGGGAGTTCCAGCGCGAGGGCCATGGCCAGCGGCCGTACGACAACTTTGAGCAGGTGACCGCTGTGTGTGCTGCAGCGCCTGGTATGGTCCTGTCCGGTGGCCCCATGCTTAGCATCCAGCCCTGGCCCTTTTTCGTGCAGGTCTGGTTCGACTGTTCAGGCAAGAAGTTTGACACCGTGATGGCGGCGCTGGGCAGCAACAGCGAGCGCTGGGGCATCTTCAACATTCAGCTGGAGTTCCAGCGGTCTGAGAGCAGCTGATGCCGCCTTGCATGCGGCCACTTCTGTTGTTTTGCTCCCTGCTATGCTGCTGCCCTACCCTGCAAACCCCTCCCTGAGCAAACTGAGGAGGTTTACACGAGTGGTGGCGCACATGGCGCCCCCCTGCATGAAATGAGGCTGAAAGGGTCAAGTGCTGCAGAGGATGGCTGAAGAAGGCTGCACACACGCTCTCGGATCGCGCTGAGCTGCAGAGGTCTCAACATGCGTCGGGCCGCCACCGCCACAGCTTGATGCAGCAGTCGTCGCCGGCAGAGGCCAGCAGCCCAGGGTCGGTGGGGTGCCACCGCACGCAGTTGATATCCAGCGGGTGCGCCTGCTCGCGCTTGCACAGCATCGCGAAGGAGCCGACGCCGCTGCCCTCGCCCCCGGCAGCCTCGCCGCCGCCCAGGCTGCCCCCCGGCTGCTGCATGAAGAGCGAGCGCACGCTGGGCTCCGCCGCCGAGCTGTCGTCCCCCGCGCCACCCTCCCCAAATATTCGTATCGCATTGTCGGCGCAGCCGCTGGCTATCAGGCCCTGCCTCGACCAGTCTACCGAGAAGATGGTGCGGTCGTGGTAGCCGCTCAGCGTGCTCAGCAGGTGCCACCGCTGCTGCCCTGCACCGCACGCAACCGCACAGCGAGGCACAGGTCAGGCTAGAGGGTGCAGCATCATCCCACCACCGGCCCCGGGCGCAGCGCTGTCGCAGGGCCCCACAGCAGCGGGAGCGGCGCCAGCCGCTGCAGCCCGCCAGCGCAGCGCACCTGCTTCCTTGCGGCAGGACCAGACTCTCAGGGTGCAGTCGTCGCTGCATGACACCATGCGCTGGCCGGCTGCGTCAAAGGCCACCTCCCACACCGTCGAGGTGTGGCCCACGCCGGGACCTGCACCACAGCGCAGCCAAGGGGAGGCGCACTGAGTTGATCACGCTCCCTGCATCCACGAACAGAGCAGGCATGCTGCACACGGCAGCTCCCATCAAGGGGCGCCCCCCCGCCCCACACCTGCCAGCGTCTGGGCGCACACCCACTCGTCGTCCTCCTCCACCCACAGCTTGATGCTGTCGTCGTAGCTGGCAGACACCAGCACCTCGCCCTGAGGGTGCCACCGCACCGTCTTGACGTCCTGCGGGGCAGGCATCGGGCAGGTGGGTAGGCAGGCAGCGGCAGGCTGCAGGCAGGCTGGCGGCAGGCGTCGGCACAGCCGCGGCAGCGCTGCGGTGCCACAAGGCCACCGGCCGACGGCAGCAGCTTCAACACACGATGAGCGGGCCCCACACTGCGCCACCTGCCCCGCACCCTCCACACCGGGCCGCCCATGCACCCACCTGCGAGTGCCCGTGCTTCACATCCACCACCTCGTACTCCTGCCCCGGCTGCACCTCCCACAGCCACACCGACTTGTCTCGGCTGCACGTGGCCAGCAGGCCGCCGTTGGGGTTCCACGCCACCTCCTTCACCTCGCTCTCGTGCCCCTCCAGCATCGCCACCACCTCCCACACCCCGCCCGCGTGCTGCCACACCGCGGTGGTGCGGTCGAAGCTGGCGGTGGCCAGGTAGCGGCCGCAGGGCGACCAGCAGGCGGAGCGGATGGTGCGGGTGTGGGTGTCATCCAGGATGGCGGCGCACAGCCAGCGCTCGGGCTGGGCGCCGGGGTCGCGCCGCCAGATGCGCACCGTGCGGTCGCCGCCGCAGCTGGCCAGCATGTCGCCTGTGCAGGGGAGGGGTCGCAGCATTCGTGTTGGGTGCGAGGCACAGGGCGGCAGCGCTGCCGCTCGGCGGCAGAGGCGGGGTGGCGGCGGCGGGCGGCGGCGCATCCTGCGCACCTGATGGCGACCACGAGACCTGCCACACTCGATCCGTGTGCCCTGTCAGGCACTGCAGCTCCTCCAGGGAGCCTGCCGGGCCTCCCATCACACTCGGAGCGGTGAGGAGTCACTGCTGCAGCCCCTCGAGTACAGATTGGCGACGATCAATTATACACTCCAAATTGAAGCGATCGAGCAGCCGCTCCCGTTGGGTTGCCAGCGCCTGCTGACGTGTGTTTCTGCCCAAGCACAAACCTGTTAGGTCCTTCACGAAAACACACAATTGGGCAACACACAGCGACGGTGCACGGGTTGGGCAGCGCTCCTGCTAGGGCAGGGATCGACAGGGGCAAGGTTCACTCCGCCGACCCTAAACCGCGCTGCAGCAGCGCCATGCAGCCGGATGGTGGCCGGGGAGGCGGTGGCAGGCCGCCCGCCGCCGCGCCCACAGCCATACCGGGGGCCAGGGCGGCGGCGGAGGACCCTCGCTGGGCGGTGCTGGTCACCTCCGCCTCCATGGGCGACACTACCTCTGTGGACCTGGGGGAGAGCCTGCAGGAGGGCCTGTTTGCCACCAGCATGCGGCGCGGCGCCACCGACCACGGCTACGGCTCGCTGGGCCACGGCCACGGCGCCTGGCTGAGCAGCAGCCCGCACCCGTCGGCCACGCGCGGCGGCGGCATGGCTGCGGGAGCGCCGCACCACCGCGCACCCACCTCGCCCTACCCCACCTCGCTGCCCCCGCCCACGCTGCGCCGCCAGGTCCGCTGGCTGCGCCGCACCCGCCGACCCTGCGGCATGCCAGCCTGCTGGCCTGCTGGCCTGCATGAACGGCGCACCGGCCACCAAGCCCTCGCCACCGCTTCTGTCCCCCTGCCTCCCTGCCCCGCCGCAGGTCTCTTTTGGGTCTGGCGTGCTGTCGCCGCGCGGTCAGAGCGACGCGCCGCCAGCGCAGCCAGCGGTGGCGGATGGGGCGGCGGCGGCTGATGCGGGGGTGGACCTTGAGTCAGCGGGGAGCGGCATGGGCCTGCTGTCGCCGCGCACCTCCCTGGACCAGCGGCGGCCGCAGCGCTGGCACCTGCAGACCACCGCGCCGGCCAGCGTGGCCACGGAGAGCGTGGCGGCAGACCTGCAGGAGCCGCTGCTGTCCGGAGACTTTGCCGATCGCGCCGTCTCCGGCACGGCGGCCGCCGCAGCCGCCTTTGCAGCCGTGGTGGAGGGCAGCAAGGGCGGGGACACGGGCGCGGCCGGGGCGCCCGCGGGGGCGGTCGTCGTCGCGCGGGACGTGGCGGGGGCGGAGCGCGGCGAGACGGAGCTCAGCCGGGCGCTGGTGTTTGGCGTGATCAACAGCGTGGCCACCATACCCTCGCTGGTGGCGTACGCGCAGGTGGTGTTCAAGGTGCGGCCGCGCTGCCCAGGTGGCGCCAGCTGGCGCCGCCTTTGCACACCCGGCCTGTGCGTGTGTGCCGCTGCTGGTTCAGGGAGGACCTGGCTGGGCAGCCTCTCGCACCGCCTGCCTGCTCCGTTACACACCTTGCGCCGCCTTCACCACGTGCCCTGTGTTGCGCCTCCCTCGTCCTGCCGTTCCCTCCTGTCTTCCAGGACGGCATCTACACCCCCTACCTCGACCAGCTCTGCAAGTTTTTCTTCCTCTCCAGCGCCGTGCACCAGACCGTGTTCTGCCTGCTGTCCACGCTGCCCTTCTCGGGTGGGTGGGCCGGGGCTGGCTGGGCCGGGTGGGCTGGAGCGTCGGTGCTAGGGTGGCGCCTCCCAGCCGCTGCCTCTCCTCTCCGGCAGAGCCTCACCGACTCTTGCCCCTGCCTGCCTGTCGCCTGCCTTGCTGCAGTCGGCCAGGTGCAAGACGTAGGTGGGTGCACCTAGGCACTGCGCTGCTGCTGCACTGCCTGCCGTGCATGCGCCAGCACCACTCAATGCATCACACCCCTCGGTCCCATCTCGCCCCCCATGCCGCCTCCTGCCCCCCTCAGCCCCTGGACCATGTTGCCACGCCCTCACGGCTCCCTGACTCTCCCCGCCACCCACCCACCCACCCACCACCTCTGCAGGCCTCATCTTCCTGAGCGCCATGGCCACCAGCATAGCCGGCGCGTGCCTGGCGGCGGGGCTGGACGCCGCGGTCGCGCTGGGCACCTCGCTGCTCACCATGAGCGTGGCCACTTTCTTCACCGGTGCCATGGCCATGCTTGTCGGTGAGCCGAACAGCCTGCCCGCCATGCCACCTACTGCCAGCTTGGTGGCGGCAGGTGGCGGCCACGCAGCCGTGTGTGTGTCGATGGCGGCGACCGAAGCAACCCCACCGCGTGCTGCGTTCGGCTCGCTGGCTGAGCAAGCGCCTGGCTGCCCGCCACCCCACCCGCCCCTGCGCAGCGCGGTTCAAGCTGGCCCAGCTGGTGCAGTACCTGCCGCTGCCGGTCATCGGCGGATACCTGTCGTTCGTGGGTGGGTATCAGTACCTGGCCAGCCGGGCGAGGGGCTCCTCCATCGCTGGTGCTGCTTGTTTGCTGGCAGGCCTGCCTGCGGTGCTTGCCTGCTTGCCTGGCAGCCGTCGCTCGATGCTGATTGGTCATGGGCTTTGCCCCTCCCTCCCTCTTTCCCTCCCTCCCTCCCCACCAGGCTACTTCTGCATCGCCAGCGGCATCGGCCTGGGCACCAGCCAAGACATCGGCAGCCTGTCCAGGCAAGCCTCGCCTGGGAGGCTGCCCCGCTCATAGCCAGCCATCCCAGCAGCGCTGCCAAGTGCAGACCAGCACGCCCGCCACCTGCCTCTCACCCTGCCCACCCACCCCGCCCCTGCCCTGCCCGCGCCGCCCGCAGCTGGGTCAACCTGCTCAACGCGGATGCGCTCACCAAGCTGGTGCCCACCGTGCTGTCCTGCCTGGCCATGATCGCCACCCTGGAGCACTTCTCCCACCCACTGGCGCTGCCGGGGGTGCTGGTGGCCACCAACCTGGCCTTCCATGCAGTCCGCCTGGCCCTGGGGGTCAGCATGGAGCAGGCCATGGATGCCCACTGGGTCATCCGGCCCGCGGTGAGCCTGGCCGGCTGGGGCTGCCTGGCAGGGTCCCATGCAGGGGGCTTCTGGAGCGGCCCTGCGCCCTGCGCCCTGAGCTGCGCCGGGCCGGGCTGGTCTTGAGCTGGGCTGGGCTGCGCGGCGCGGCGGCGCCCCGGGCGCTCTGCCGTTCACAGTCCGTCTCTGGCGTGGCCTGCCTTGCCTAGCCTGCCGCGCGTGTGTGTCCGCAGGAGGGCACCCAGCGCTTCTGGGAGCTGTGGGGGCTGTTCAACATCCGGGGCTGGAGCCTGAGCGGCATCTACTTCCCCGCGCTAGCCGACCAGTGGCTCAAGATGCTGGGCCTGGCGCTGGTGGTCATCTTTGGGTCGGCCATGGACATCGCCGCCATCCAGCAGGACACGCCCAAGGTGGGGGCATGAGAGAGTGTGTGTGTGTGTGTGTGTTTCGGCACCTGCCTGTGCCAGCCTGCCTGCCTGCCTGCCTGCCCTGGCCCTGTTTCGGCTGCCCCTGCGCCCAGCCTGCCGCCGTCTCACCCCGGGCGCCCCCGCCTGCCCGCCGCCGCAGAAAATCGACTTCAACAGGGAGCTGGTGACAGTGGCGGTGAGCGGCGCAGGCGCCGACTGGGCGGACCGGCCACTACGGCCCCGCTCCCTCGCTCCTTGCATCGCCCCACCAGCCTACGTTTCCCCACCTTCCCTGGGGCTCATCCCTTCTTGACCCTCGTGCCCACCATTACACTCCTGCCCGGCACCCCTGCACACATACCCCTGCCCACCACACCCCGCCCAGCACCACACCCCGCCCGCCACCCCGCCTTCCTCAGGTCTCCAAGATGGCCACCGGCGCCGCCGGCTGCGGCTACACCGGCTCCTACATCTTCTCCCAGACCATCTTCACCATGCGGGCGGGCGTGTACAACCGCTGGAACGGATGGGTGGTGGCTCTGTCCGAGTACACCATGTTTGCGCTGCCCTTCCCGGGTGCGTGGGGGGGTGGGGCGCGGGAGGGGCGTGGCCTGCCGCTGCGTGTGCAGGGGAGAAGGCGGGCAAGGGGACTGCTCTGTGTGTGCGAGGGAGAATGGGGGAGAGTTGACTGCTCTCTGTGTGTGCGAGGGAGAAGGGGAAATGAGGTTACTTCTGTGTGTGTGTGTGTGTGTGTGTGTGTGTTGGGAGGCGGATGGGGCGGATACCGCAGCGGGCCCAGGCGCTGCTCCACCTCCCCACCGCC